GTCGCGGCGTGCGCTTTCTGGCCACACCGCTCGGGAAACGATATACTACAAGATGGGTATACTATATGCTTGGGTGGGACGCGCGCCTCCAACGAGGACATATAGTATTAGTATGTCTGTGTGCGTCCCATCCGCCCTCTCTGGGTCTGAGAGAGGCCCCCCCACGATCGAGGCTCGAGGCTCGTGTGCAGTTCCCAGGCTCCCTGGGCTTGAGGGCGGCTCCTCGTCGCCGTGGCCGGGGGCGCGCCGGAACTCTGGCCAGAACGCCCCCCTGGAGAGGTCGGTGCACCGGTGCTGGATGGGAGCGGGGAATCATCAGGAGGACGCTGCTGGAGGAAGCGCGTTGCCAAATCATTTCCAGATGGGAGCGGGGAATCATCGGAGCGGGAGATCTGACTAGGAGGACGCTGCTGGAGGACGCTGCTGGGAGCGGGGAATCATCGGAGCGGGAGAGGTCGCTGCTGGAGGAAGCGTGTTGCCAAATCATTTCCAGATGTCTAAAACACGTTTTAAGCATGTTTTAAGCATGTTAAAAACATGTTAAAACATTTCAAAGTATGTTCAAACATGTTAAACATATGTTTCATTCAATGATCGCATTGTTAGGGTGTCCATTGTCATGACATCCACAAAGAAAGAGGGGGCGGACTCGAGAGGAGACTGGGCAAGTGGGGCTGCGAAATCCGCTGCGTGCAGCCGTCTTCGGGCCCCTCCTCGATGCACTGGCGCGCCTCTGGTGCCGAGAGGTGCCTGGGAAAGCAGCTGCGTGAGGTGATTCTTCGCCACACCTCCTCCGAACTTCCTAGAAGGCGGCGGGGATGCTAAGAAGGCAGGGGGGCCCTCTCGAGGTGGCCTCACTGAGGTCCCCGTCATCGCAGTAGGGAAAACACAACTGGGCGGTCTGGTCCGACTGCAGAGAGGATCCCTTTTTCCCCAATGCTTCTGGCCCTCCCACATGAGGTCGTCTCCCAAAGGGTTAGGGGTTCTTTTTTGGTTGCCCATCGGTCGTTGAAAGTAGGTATTTTTGGATTCCCAGATTCCATATCTACTTTGGGCGCCTTCCTACTTCAATGAGCGAGTGGCTTCCCCTCTTTCCTCCTCTTCAGGGGACTGGCGGAGACCCAGTTTACTTCCAACGCCTTCCTACTTCATGTTTCTACCTACAGTGGGGTCCCATACCAAGACACACCCTGTTTTTTTCCAGGGTGCCCTTGGTTTCTTGAGTTTCGATGATCTTGCTGTGGAAGGCGTGACGTTCCCACACCAAGAATTACTTGGTGTCCTGGGGTCTCAGGGTTGGGTTTCTCGTGGAAGGTTTCTTGTGGACTGGCCTCCGCTGTACTTCTTCCGACCGATGGGTAATCATCAGAAGCCTCCGTGGTCTTTGAGAAGGCCTCTCCCTTCGAAGAAGCCTCGCCCCGCCCTCTTGGGAGGTCGCCGCCCCTCGCGCCAACCCCCTCGTGGACGCCGTTCGAAGTTCAGATGGCTCCGGGTGACTTCGGACGAGGGGGGGAGGAGGGGGAGGAGAGGATGGGGGAGGGAGGGAGGAGGAGGAGCAGGAGGGGGAGGGGGAGGGAGAAGAGGAGGAGGAGGAGGAGCAGGAGGAGGAAGGGGTAGGAGGAGGAGGATGATGATGATGATGATGCTGATGATGATGCTGATGCTGATGATGATGCTGCTGCTGCTGATGATGATGATGATGATCATGCTGAAGATGATGATGATGATGATGATGATGATGATGCTGATGATGATGATGATGATGGTGACGATGATGATGCTGATGATGATGATCATGATGATGATGATGCTGATGAGGATGATGATGATCATGATGATGATGATGATGATGATGAGTATGATGATGATGATGATGATGATGATGATGATGATGATGATGATGATGATGATGATGATGATGATGATGATGATGATGATGATGATGATGATGATGATGATGATGATGATGATGATGATGATGATGATGACGACGACGACGACGACGACGACGACGACGACGACGACGACGACGACGAGGAGGAGGAGGAGGAGGAGAAGGAGGAGGAGGAGGAGGAGGAGGAGGAGTAGGACGAGGAGGAGGAGGAGGAGGAGGAGGAGGAAGGAGGTGGAGGGAGGAGGTGGAGTCGGGAGGAGGAGGATGAGGAGGACGATGAGGAGGAGGTGGAGGAGGAGGAGGACGAGGAGGAGGAGGAAGAGGAGGAGGAGAAGGAGGAGGAGGTGGCGGGAGGATGAGGAGGTGAAAGAGGAGGAGGAGGAGGAGGACGAAGAGGAGGAGGAGGACGAGGAGGAGGAGGATGAGAACGAGGAGGAGGAGGAGCAGGAGGATGAAGACGCTCTCGCCTCGGTCTGCCCTCCGGCAGCTGCGCTCCGTCGAGATCGTTCTGAAGGTGCCCGGACAGCCCCCGAAACGGCTGCCGGAGGCCAGAGGTCTGGCCCGAAAGCCAGGGCTCCCCGCGCGGCGAAAATCTGCGGACGACACGTGTGCACCGCACCGCGTTGGCGCCTCTCGAGGCGTCATCGGTTTTTGGGCCCAGGAATGGTACGGTGCATAGTTCGTCGACCCCGAGAGCCGAACAAACTATGCACCGTGCCGAGTTGGAGTGGGGCCTGAGGGGGGTCCAAACACGGTTCGGTGCGTGGGCGCTGTTCTCGCAGAAAAGAACACGGCAGAAGGTTATGTCCTGTTTTCGGTTTCCGGGCCGTCATGAAACGCTCCAGGAAGGAAGCCAGTCTTGTGAAAATCCAAACTCGGATCTAGCCGGGACCCCGGGTACGTAAGGGGGGCCGTTTCGTGATTGGGCCCCGAAGCCCTCTTCATTGGCCAGATTCACTAAACCAGATCTGCCGTGGCTGTTTTTTTTCGGGTGACGGCAGTTCTGGTTAGTGAAATGAGGCGGGGGGGGGGTCACATGACTAAAGCAGGTTCTACTAAACCCAGTCCTGCCAACGCCCGACAGACCTCTGAGTGTCTACGTTGTGAAGCAAACGTTGCGTTCAAGTTCTGGGTCCCGCCCCTGTCGAGAACACATCCCTCCATGCGTACCCAGACTGGGATGGCAAAATCGCTGTTTCGGTCAACCTCGTGGGCAGCTTCGTTTTTGCTCAGATCTCGTTTCCTTTTTCGTTCTGTGGGCGATTTGGGCATTCAGAAGGCTTACGCCATTCCGCCGACCCCCAGAAGAGGAGATGTGTGGCTTCTGATTTCGTATCACGTGTTGCTGCATGCGTGTAGTTGCTGCTAATTCGTCATCCCCTTTCTCCTCGGTTATCGGGATTTTTGAAGGCCTTTCGGAGTTGCTACAGTCAGTTCACAGTTGGTCCACGATAGCGGGCGCATTTTTCACGATGACGAAGCAGCAGTGGGTCACACACCACGTACACCTGTCACGTTTTTTCACCACGTATCAAAAACTCGTTGTCTGCAGCCAGGGGTACGGACGGCAGAGTGTGTGTGTGTGTGTGTGTGTGTGTGTGGGATGCAAGTGCCGCCAGGGACCAGGAGCGGACACTGCTGTCGAAAGTCGATTCCGCAAAAGGTCCGCAGGAGGAGGAGGAGGAGGAGGAGGAGGTGGAGGAGGTGAAGGAGGAGGAGGAGGCGGAGGAAGGAGGAGCAGGAGGAGGAGGAGGAGGAGGAGGAGGAGGAGGGAGGGAGGAGGAGGAGGAGGAGGAGGAGGAGGAGGAGGGAGGAGGAGGAGGAGGAGGAGGAGGTCTGTCATCCAGAAGTGTAGTCAGGCGGCAGGCTTGTGTCGCGTCGCCGTGGCGGCAACCCCAGCGCCGGCATTTGAAGGTCGACTGCCGCCACTGTCCCGGTTTCGGCCGGCATCGAACGGTCTGCGCTGCAGTGGGGGCCGACGCCGATGCCAAGACACACCCTTTAATAACACGATGACGAGGTGGCCTCACTGAGGTCCCCGTCTTCGCAGTAGGGATAATACATCTGGGCGGTCTGCTCCGGTACATCTGCAAAGAGGACCTCTTATCCCCAATGCTTCTGGCCCTCCCAGATGTGAGGTCGGCTCGCAAGGGGTTAGGGGCTCTTTTTTGGTTGCCCATCGGTCGTTGAAAGTAGGTATTTTTAGATTCCCAGATGCCAATCTGCTTTGAGCGCCTTCCTACTTATTGACCGAGTGGCTTCCCCTCTTTCCTCCTCTTCAG